TCTTTATAATCCTTATTAGTTCCTTGCTTACCTGCCAGATAACATGGTATGAATGGAGGCAGAAGTAGAGTCCTTTCTTTTTCTGATATGGGTACTTGCTTCTGCTAAGTAAATTATATTCACCACCTTGAAGTGATAGAAATATGCCCTATGAAACTGAGAGGACTAAACTGTATTGAATACTGAATTGCATTGAAGGAAATTCCTGAGTTTACCGAAAGATTTATAAAAAATTAACTATCATTACAATATTATTAGCCATCCAAGAACCCCAAGTCTTGGATCGACTGCACTACTTCTTCAATCAAATCATTGCAAACAATAATCAATGTGTGAGCCTCAATGCATCATGCTGGACGTAGCAATTACTTACCACTACATACGGGTAATTCAAGTTGTAAAGATCAAAACTTAAGAGACCACTTATTGCAATAAAACTGCTATAGGCAATCAAGACTAGAATAAGGTACTCAACTTTTCAAATTTCCTTCCACTCAACTACTTAAGCTTAAAAACGTGTTGATTGTTTCCAAAGTTTAATTATGAAGTATAAGTTCAGGAATAGGCTTCTACTCAGCTTTCAAAAGTAATGTGCACCTCTGTAATGCGAAAAACATATAATTGCAAACTAAAGTCACATGCTAATTGTGTGCAACTTGCACAGGAGAGTTGGTCAACGCTTCAGCAACCCTTTTAAAATCATACCAACTAGTGATAAAGGCTTTCTTTAAATCAATTTCAGCCTATTAGTTCGTATTGATATGTCTTTTCATAACTTACTTGGTTATTAAAAACATACACCGGAAATGTAAATTAATATAAGGATTCAGTAATAACCAATTAGGAGTATAATTAAGGAATTTGAAGCAAAGAATGCCTGATATAAATGCACAGAAAAGCACTGGAAATGCATTCGCCGTAATCTATATAGTCCACTATTTAGTCATCCCTAGTTTTTTCATGGTTGTTTTCATAGTATTTAATAATATATCATCAATTATGAACCATCGAATATAGATAGGAACTTAACTGATGCTCTGCATAAGCTGATGTGAATATATTATGAACGTACTCATTTAGTTGATGTACAGTACGGTACCTCAATATCAATAATTTCCCCTAATAAACAAATTGTGTTTACAATCAGTCGATAGGACTCTTCTAACCTTTATTTTCTGCTCCCTGACACTCATCAATAAGGGAGTATATGAAACCAAAGCAAAACTGTCTTTCCCTTGATGTGGAAATGCAGATTATCGGTTAAAGTACTCTAATCCAATGCAATGGGTCCCGGATCCTAAGTCCACTCCACTATCTTCTGATTTAATGACGCTGTAGTATTACAAACCCCCACACGCTGAGTGTGGCTCATAGCCTAGTTATAAGTTTTTATAACTGAATTATCCTATTAGTAAAGAGATTCAAATTTTATATTACACTGTCTTAATAAGGCAGCCTCTATCTCATTGGCATTCAAGTTGTGACTGGCGCAGTTATAAGATAGGATTATTTATTCCCATCTATCGTTAGGTAGTAATCAGTTAAGTTCACTTGTTTTAATTACATACCGACGTATATTGATCGAAGTGATTTTTTCCACTTCGATGCAGAAGACCACTCGACGAAAATTTTCACCTTCATTTTTCCTGTAGTATTTGTTAAAAAAATAATTTGATGACAACAAGATCTTATCAATTCATAAAGTTTCATCTATCTTTTAAACCAAATATTATGTCCACCATTATTTGCCACGAGGATCCATGCTTATTAAAAATTTCACGACAGCAAAAAAGACAGAAACATAACTGTAGAATCACTTCAAGAATGCAGACGTCAGGATAAGAGTCTTTGACAAAAAACATGAGTCAGTTCGTGAGTTTTTAAACCTTCGTTGATTCAGGTGGCTGGTACATATGTTGAGTATATATGCCTAGTGTTAATGTCGGTAAAGGTAAAGGTAAAGGTGATCACACCTAAACTTGTCAGTCATCAGTTCATGAACTTTCTCACTTTTGGGTTGAGCTGTATGTAAAAATGTTGACTTGACTCGAGTCCGTATTACAGCTGAAATCAGTAATTAGAGGCTTTAAGTGATATAACTTTAAATTATTGAAAGTGGTACGATTTCAACTGACCCTTTGCTTTCATATGAATATCAAATATCTTTTGTTAAACATTTCTATACTCTTTTTATTTTTTATATCTTTTGTTTCTCTATTGTTATTTATAGTCATCCAAACCGAATAGCTTTTCTACGAGGTCATATATATGTATATGCTGTTTAGTTGTATTGTATTGATCAGTTTCCTCATCCAGACAGTTGGAGAAACCGATTCAGTTATAAGAAATTAAAATATAGTTCAGCAAAAAGGAGACTTTTCTGTTGAAACTATACACTTTTACGGATGATAGGATCCTTTTATCAATACACAAAGATCATCTCATCAAAAAGTGTTCCCCTAATTAGTAAGATTTCATATAGTGATAGGAGTAGTGTAAGCGAAAGACGTTTTTGCATGATGAAGGCTTTTAATATTTCCAAAGAACACTATGTATAAATAGGATATGTGAAAGGAATTATAAATTAACAGGTGCATGGGAAAAGAAAACGGCAGTCATAAGAAATATAAATAAGAAAATGAAAGAAATCAAAGTAAGGAAAAATAAAAACACTCTCGGTATGTTAATTTTATGCGTAGAATTAAGGTTTGAATTGTTAAGGTATTGATATCTCTGAGATGTGTATTTGTACTCCTTATTCGTTCAAACCCATCGTGTTGAAATCTACAGTATGGTTGTGTGAAATCGATGATTGTACACGACAAGAGTTAATCATAAGTTGAAATCCTGGGGGCCAAGTCACTGACCTCAACATTGAATAAAAGTTGAACTCCACTCGCAAACCACATACACGTGCGTGCACTAGGGACTAAGCCACGTTCTTGATGTAAGGGTTAATGATATCACTTTGTTACCCATACCTCGGTAGGCGGAGAGAGGTTCGAACCTGTGACCCATCGGTCGGAAGTCGAGTGTCTAGACCAGTGAGCCACAGTTCCTCCTTTTAGAGAGAGTTTTTATTCAATTTTTGTCTCAACTCCAAGTTCCGAGGTGGACTTCGTCTGCTTGGGAGTCATTGTTCAAAACCTAGGAGGTTGGTCCCCTCACCGAGCAGGAAACATCATAGCAGCGCATCCACATGAAAACGAACACTCCTACCAGGGAACTGTTTTGACACCCCCTCAAAACTGATCAGTGTAATCCCAGAACCCTACCAACTATCAGGCTTCAACGCATTTACATTCGCTGGGTAATCGGGTCATTTGACTGTACTCATCCCTGTGGGCAGATGGGCATGGGACATGTTTCACTGAGTCTCCACAATCTTACAGAAGAGATACACCTCACCTTCCCAAAAGACTACTACATTCTTCCTACATTGATTCAACTTCTAAGGCTCCTCCCAGGCTGCTGCTACGGTTAAGGCTAGAGAAAACAATAAGCAGCATTCTGGACCGAATATTCCCACCTTATTTAGATAAACCGCATACTCCTGTAGGGACTGTTTCAACAGAAGTGGCTTGCCGGAACTAGGAAGCTGAATTCCCTTACCTTTTGACTGTACTGCTCCCAGCGCACTGGGCGCAAACTTGATGGTTAGCTGAGCCACCCGTGCTTTGGAGATCCGCGCCAATGAGCTGCGCATATAGATGTCGTGATCCTGTTTACCGCTGAGTCAACTCTGGCGGTAAACTGGTTGATATCCAGTAGGGTCACGTAGAGGCTCACCGTCGTTGCGTAACTAGACTTGACCCATGATCACCGGTGCACGCTCGATCTTCAGTTTTAAAGGCCAGCGACACATGATCACACCATGTAGTGCTTCACGTTGATATCCTGACATATAGCCACTATGGAGGAATCTGGCCACCATGGGAGAGTCATAGTTACTCAGTTAACAGTGACGGTGGTTTGAATCCTCGATTAAATATGAATTTACTTGAAGTTGCGGATGTGCTTTTCAGACAAGTTTTGTTTAAGTCGAAACACAGATCAAATAAGGTCTTCCACCTATTAGCTTCCAACACGTACCATCAAAATACAGTGCACCATACTGTCGTGTAACTTAGACTAAGAATCACATTGTAAACCAAGTCCATAGACTTTGGTCAGCCTAGCTACATCGCCTATTATCTGGTCTTATATACTACTACTGAGTTAAAAAATGACATTTTTAGATTTTTATACCTATTTTCTTCCACAGAACAAATATACATAACTTACTGTTTGTAAACTTTAAGGTCACATGAAAGAGGTTTGTTTTACAGGAAATATTTTTGATAAAATGGAGTGAATTAATTTTAGTCACCTTTATTTTCTTTCACTAACAAGTTTTATTTCTTTGTAAAAAGTGCTGTTTACTAATTGAAATTTGTTTTATCACCATTTACATTCTTGTGTAATCGTAAGAAAAAGTCAGTTAATTGGTGAAGATTATTAATTTTCTTCATATTTCTTGTACTGTTATTGTTGTTGTTATTCATCGCGATAAAATAGCTGTTGCGCAATGATAATGACTGATTATCTAAATTTGTATAGATGGTGGGCTTTAAACAAAAAGGTGCCTGTATAGACTTGTATTCCGAATGATGCTGATACTTCGAGTTTTATTAATATGTTAGCTTTATATGTCTACTGCGCATTATTTTATCTGCAAAATTCTACTTTTGTTTCATCAAAGTTCCAAGTTTTTGATGTGAAGTGTTTAACCTCACCCATTTGATTACAAATCAGAGTGTTTTCGTCCATTCACTTCTTACGTGTGAGTAGAATTTCCAGCCCCCACCAACCGGTACTGGATTATTTCGTCTGATTATTATTCACGTAATATCAGTGAAGAAATTTATTTACGAAGAGACTAACTATGTACATGCAAAAATAAATATCATTATAATCTTTTTTGTTATGCTCTACTGCTGTTTTCTCTCTCTCCACTTCAGCTCATCTCAAGGAAGCATTAGAAGAGTACATAAACATTCTGAAAATTGTCAAAATTGTTCGTACTAAAGAACGAGAAGGTTTGATCAGAGCTAGAATGCTTGGTGCAGAACATAGTACTGGTGAAGTGCTTGTATTTCTGGACTCTCATATTGAATGCACCACAGGTAGAATTTTTCGCTTGTAAATATAGCCCGCAGTAATATATATATATATATATATATATATATATATATATTCATCGTATAAGGTGTATTTTTATTTGTGTAATCCAGGTATAGTATATTAGAACAAATAACAAAATAAACAAATATTTTGTACTATTCCTCAACGTTTCGATCTTGCTAGGAAGATCCTTTTCAAGAGTATGAACCTGGCATTCAGTTTTCATGTTAGTATTTACGTTTTGGTACAGAAGGCGGTGACCTTTACAAACATCCAATCACATCGTGATATGGATCAAAGATCGATGTAATACAGGTGAGTGAATAAGCAACTCGGTTAGAGAGGCTTTTTCCACTTGTGCGAGTAAGGTGGAACAAAAATAGAGTGGAAAAAAACTTAGTTCGTGTATGAAAAGTACAATGGGGTTGTGAGCCACCAAGGCTGAGAAAGAATGGATTACTAGTTTGGAAGGATGAATATTTGAACATCGGACAATATATAATAAATAAATAAAAATAATGATAATGATAAAAGTACTTTTGATAACACTTGAAGAATGAATGGTAACAGAATGGATTATGTAATATATAGAATGGTTCATGGAATGTATATAATTCAGAAACGAGCGTAAAATTGATGAAAATCGTAGACCAATAAAGTATTAAGTAATAGGAATAAACAAGTTGTTAAAATGCAACCAATATTTCTTTGATGTCATTAAGACGACTAAGCGAAATGACACCGGAAACTATTCAAGCAAGAGTAAATTCGGGATAAATCATGTGGAATGAAATTGTGTTCTACCTCCTTTTCATATATTATTTGCAACTGCCTATCCGAGTCAGTAATGTTTGGTCTGTTAGTGGGATGTCTAACGCATCCTTTCTGTTGACCGAAGAAGGGTACGAACAGATTTGCAAAGCTTCTGCAGGACTTTCGTCTGTTCGAATGATATTTTATGACCTGAATATAGGGCATGAGCCGCGATGGCAGAGCTTTTTACAGGTTTTGCTAGATCATAGGAATTTTTTGGTGGTTTCTTGCAACTTCGACCCTGTTCGGCTAGTGGTGTTAGTACTTGATGTGATGTCTCTCCAATGTATGTGTCATCACATTCGCTACAGTCTACCTTATAAACACAGTCCTGTTGTTCCAAATGAGAAATCGGATCTTTTTATTTACTCAGGTGTGAGTGTAATGTGTTCGTCACCTTAAAGAATACACTGATGTTGTAACTATTAAGGATGCGTCTTATTTCCTCTGAAGTGAATGTTCCATAAGGAAACTTGATGTCAAATTCATACTCTTGAAAAGGATCTTCCTAGCAAGATCGAAACGTTGAGGAATAGTACAAAGTATTTGTTTATTTTGTTATTTGTTCTAATATACTATACCTGGATTACACAAATAAAAATACACCTTATACGATGAATCATACTAACTCAGTGCCCAAGTTTTTTCAAACCATCCAGTCCATTGTTGATCTGGATACCTTCAAACTTATTTCTACTCGGATTAAGTTCTGAAGCACTGAAACTAATCTAGCAGAATATCGCAGAAGAAGTTAGATATAAAGTCTCACATGTTCTAATTAATCAAAAACAGTCAAATATGAACATATTGAAAAAGAGGAACGTTCTCTTCGCTCTTTAAAAAGTGATAAGGACATACGGATTATGAAAGCTGGCAAAGGAAACATAACTGTCGTCATGACCACATCAGACTATGAACAAAAGGTCACAGAGCACTTATCCAGTGGACCGTATGAAATGATAGAAAACAAGAAGCGTAAGCCAACACTCAACAAGGTAAGACTACAGATTAACAAATTCTATACGATCTGAAATCGAAATTAGTCAATGCCTTGCGGTTTAATTTAGCACCAAAAAGTTATGCTGCTTCACGCTTCTATAGCCTTCCCAAAATTCAAAAACCCAATTTTCCGATTTGTCCAATTGTGGATTTTACTAATTCCCCAACATGTAATCTTTCAAAATACCTCACAAAAATCCTTAAACCATTACAAGACAACTTGGTAAGCATCATTAAAAACTCATTAGACTTCAAACATAAGTTATTGCAAATAACTATTGAAGATGATGGAACAATGGTTTACTTTGACGTTGTTTCTCTGTATACAAATATTTCGATTGGTGAAAGCATGCAAGTTGTTAGATTTTTATTAGAGTCGGATACTTCTTTATCACTTAGATGCAATATTTCCATCAGTGAAATCTGTGATGCACTGAGATTGTCTGACCTCAACCTTTTTTACTTTCCGAGGAAACCTTCATCGTCAAACCAGTGGGGTGGCAATGGGTCCACCTGTCTTGCCTATTGTAGCTAATCTATACATACACAAAGTAGAATCAGACCTACTTGGCCAACATAATTTAAAACCAAAAACAAGGTCTAGAAAATCTTTCTGAATATCTTAACAGCCGTTTTAGCTCTATAAAATTCACATATGAACTAGGAACAGAATTCAGAACGCTAGCTTTCCTAGACTGCAAGGCTATACGAAACAGTGATGAGACACTTGAAAATGATGTCTATCGAAAAGATACACATTCTAACAAGTACTTTGATTTCGATTTGGCTCATCCATTGGAAACTATGTTAAACATTGCCAAGAATCCGCTGACAAGATCACAAAGGATACCAAATAAAGTGGAATCTCAGCAAGCAGATAGGCAACTTGTTCGGGAAGTTTTAAAACAAAAATAACTATCCGGAAAAGCTATTAAAATGAATAGAAAAAACTATCGAATAAAGATGCGAAAAGCCAAGCCATAAAGATTGGATAAGTACTATAGTGCTTCCTTATGGAACATTCACTTCAGAGGAAATAAGACGCATCCTTAATAGTTACAACATCAGTGTATTCTTTAAGGTGACGAACACATTACACTCACACCTGAGTAAATAAAAAGATCCGATTTCTCATTTGGAACAACAGGACTGTGTTTATAAGGTAGACTGTAGTGAATGTGATGACACATACATTGGAGAGACATCACATCAAGTACTAACACCTAGCCGAACACATATATGATAAACTGAAGACGTTCTTAAATGCGTCAGAACTCCCTTGTCCTTATATGCATCAAGTCATATGTCCAACTCTGTCTAGACAACTTAGTTCATTTAGCATTTACCATTGTCATTACCATCAACAACATTTTAGTTATTGTCACCATTCGAAAATATTTTTGTGACTCTGGTGTTGTGAAAATTCAGTCTAGTCAGTTTTGTGTTTATTTCTTTTTGTATACACGCACAGTGTCTCTGTAGTTTCTGTCAATCGCAAAATTAATATTGTAACAATATTTCCTATATATATGTACACATGAAAGGATTTTAATCATACCTTAATCAGAATAAAATTGAAAGTTTATGACTTGTTTACCGCTTATTATTTCGCTACAGTGTCAATCAACTTGAGAAAAGATGTCTGTTCGAATTCACTTAATGTTGCATGAAAACATTCAATCTTCATCTGAAGTCTTTTAGGTATATTTTCTTCATCTTACTTGGGTTCTTCAGCCTCCAGGTCTGAGAAGTGATAATCACTCAAATCCTGAGAAATAGAAAAAACTGTATGAGAAAAGGTTTTCTGACCTTGGTGCTTGGAAAGCGCTCTAGAGGGTTATTGTCATTGATTTTGTGAATTGATTCCATCGTACAATTACACCTATTCATCAGACTTTCTGCGATTTTATAAATAACCCGGTTGGTTGGTTATGGATATTTTCAAAGACGTTTACCTTCTAAAGGGCTGTCAAGAGTAAATATTATGCTTCCTAACAACTACAGCGAGTTATTTACTACTTAAATTCATGGACTGTTTGCTTTGAAGTATTTTTCTCTGTACCTTAATGTCATTGTCAGCATAGTTTCGGGAAAATATTACCTTTGAACATATAAGTATTCAAAACCTCTTTCTGAGGTCTATTCAACTGATAGAATTCCGGATGCAAATCACTATCCAGTTCCTGAAGAATATTGTTGGGCATACGGTGAATTTCGCTCTTTTCTTCTCATATTTTGACGCAAGTTTAGACCAAACAGATTTATTCAATTGAAGTGGTTAGAAATATATTTGAAGAGGTCATTTCGTATGTTTCCTCAATCGTCTTTCCTTTGAATCTATTTACTATTCATCTGCTAATTTATGGCACAAAATCTACTGATTCGGATTCATATACCTTAAGACACCAAGATTAAATTTGCGATGGCTGATAAAGTCTTGGCACAGATGCAAAAGGTCCAATCGGCTTTTGCTAACATATGCTCCTGGTGGCACCGAGAAGATATCCAAGTGAATGCCTAGAGTTGAATGTACTGTACAGGATTTCCCTTTATTTTACTCTGTGACTGCAAACTGTTACTATTCAAGGTAGGAAACGTTAAAAAAATTATAGGTATTCAACCACTGTTGCTTTCGTAGCATTGCGTAGGTGTCGTAGAAGCACCACATAAGGGAAGCAGAGATAAGACGTAATCTTTTGTAGAAAGATACAAGTTAGTTGATGAGGTTGTAAACTTTCGTCAAATCAGGTGGCTGAGATATATGAGGTATGCTTGAACTATGTTAGCTGAAGTAAAGTTGGAAGAAAATCAAGGATAACCATATTAAAAAGCAGCATCAGTCTTTAACTTATGGTTTTAGCCGTGTAGGGGAATATGGGCCTCCTTTTTCGGGTCCATGTAACAGAATTCAGTATTTAGATTCTTTAGGTGATATAATTCAGAATTGACAGTAGTCGGTACACCCTATCTTCATATTTATAGTTATATCATATCTCTTCAAGAACTCGTATTTTCACTTTTCGTCTTTGTACGACTTTGTTTGATACTGATTTTGATTTTTCATCTTTTCTTCTTCTATTTTCCCCTTTGATATGAAATCCAACAACTTAGATCGCAATGCAGTAGTTCCAGGTCTCATGGTAGTACTGACTGGTTAGGTTTCTAGTCGAACGGTTGGGGATTCTTTCCT